GTGCATATGAAACTGCTGTGTGCTATCTGACCATCCTATCAACTCCTTTTTGAAACTTTAAAGCACTTTAACAGAATCATTACAAGAGAAGCTTGGGTGATGTGCATCAGGCAACCTAATTGGAGGAATTCTTTGCACTGACTCTTCTTATACACCCTTATTCAATTTCTATAGACTGTTGAATGACCTTGTCATCTTTGCTGCCCTGAACTAAAGCTTAGCTACAGTCATGGCTGTAACACAATATAAATAGATCCCAGGGAAATTAAACAACTGAAGGCCAAGTCTCTGGGGGAATACTAAGTGTAGTAGGTAGCTGGCTAATTCTCCAGCAGAAGCTCCATTTCCAAAGGGGAGTGCCATGCAGGGTCACAAAATGTGCCTTTGTGTCATTCAGACTTTGTTTTTGGAGTACATCACACACATGAGACTGACAGAATCTAGTTATTTTTCCAAAATGACTAGATTGGGGCAGGGGAAAATGCCAATGGGTAATGTAAATACAGGGTAACAAGAGAAGCTTTCCCAGGGTTATCATGTACCTCATGTTAAACAGTTTAGATGATCCCATCAGCACAGGAGAAGCTTTCCCAGAGAGAAAGCTTGCAGTGTCTCCAAACCTTCCAGGAATCATCCACCAATTTATTAGTTTAATGGTTTATTTTATAAAGCACTCCATACACTCCATTTCATGGCCATCCAGCACCTGGCAGCTGCTGCAGCCCCGGGGAGCCAGCGATGCTCCCAGCACAGGGCACTCCACAGGCTGTCCCTGGGAGGGACCTTCTCCAGGGAAAGGCCAAGGAACGTGGGCTCCCATGCTCAAGGCATTTTCACCAAAGCTAACACACTAGTTTTTCCATCCCCTAAGGTGAGAGATGTTACTCTGGTACCATCATGCAGCAAAACAAAAGAGCACGTACATGTGCCTATGTCTGCCAGCACCTCCTGGCCTCAGGGTTTTGGGTGCATTTTCTGGGACCCTATGTCTGCCTTATCACCAAAGTGCAACTTCATGAAACCCTCATGGAACTGCCAGCACCGAGGTGGTACAGCCCCTGCACAGCAACCAGGGAAGAATGGATTAGCAGAGTGAATTCTTGCTTTCCTCCCTCCCTCCAAGCATAGAAGGCTTGGAGGCTAAAGGCACATGAACATGTTGCAACACCCCCATCACCAGTGGCATTCATTTAATTAATTATCAGCATGGTAAGACTGAACAATGAAGTTCAGAGACTAAGATTTCCAGATATCTTAAAAAACAGTTATGTCACAGCATCAGAATTGATCATGCTTTCTTGAGTTTGCTACCCAAGAAGTTGAATTTGATTTTATCAGATAAGCTTCAGATGGGTTCTTCTGACTCATTGCCATCCTTGCTTAACACTTCCCTACCAATGATATGTCTGCAAATACAGGGAGCTCTGACAAGCAAACACTCCATTAGCCCAGCAGTGACACCAGCTTCATGGAGGCACAGATGCACCTGCACATGATTTAAATATTATTTGAAAAAAATAATCTGAACAGACTTAAAGGGGGAGCTGAGCTTCTCTGGACACTGTGTTTTAACTCCCAAGGTTTGCCAATCCCTCTCCTGTTGCACAGTGAGAAGGTTCTTCCACCAGCAAAACTCACTTCAACTTCTGAACACACATCCCGAACCTGTACCAACAGACTAACCACGTCTCACAATGAAAGACTTTCTGTGAGGGAAAAATTTCTAGACCAGGAGGAAGCAATGGAGGAATTAAAAACACAGGCAAAAATGCATGGTATGCACCCAAGGGTCTGCTCCTGTGGCAAATTCAAGTAATAATGGAATTTTACACTGGACTAGGAAATGGTCTGCTATTGAAAAATAAATGCAAAGACCTTTAACACAAACAAATGCCTATGTGAAACTGTGGCTATTTATTTTGAGAATAAATGATCAGATCATTTAATTCTATTTACGTGGTGATTATCATGCTAAATAATCCAGTTTAAAAACACACAGAAGTAACTGGGTAGACCTACACTGGAGAAAGAGAGGTTACTTCTTAGAAAACAAGGTAGGAACCAACAAGAGACTAAAAATACATAGCATAATATTCATATTGCTACATTCCCTGTTTAATCATTGTAATCTATTTCACACTAGCATTGCTGATTCTGCTTTATCTATCATAATTATTCTTCCATCAAGAGTCCTGTGGACATTTGCAATCATTTACAATAGTTATATCAAACCTATCAACAACAAGCAATCAACAGTGCTTGTAATAACAATGCTAATGTTCTCTCTGATTAGAGACAATCATGAACTCTCATTTTGTGATGCGCTTTAATTGCCACAGCATAAGTGAAATGTCTTCTTTAAACACACATATCTTGCATAACTGGCATTTGTACCAACATCTGCAGAAAGTTCCACTGACAGATGTATTGACATGCTCCAAATGTCACTAGAAGTCTGTGTGCAGTTCATTAACTATGCAAAAGAGCAGGGAATGGTAGGGCAGCCATAGATCATGACAAAGACATGAAGAGGGAGTCTATGGAATCCATATAAACTCAGTGGCAACAGATAATGCATGAGAAACTGCTCCTTCTTTGCCACTGGGAAGCACTTAGGACTGTGGGCATATTCTCTCAAATTAGGAATAACCTTTCCCTTTGACCATACTCTCCAACATATATTACACCAAAAGCCTTAACACACACCTTTCCCCTTCAAGTTTCACACTTGCAGTATTCTAATTCCTGTAGCTCATAATGAAGACATTTTTTCTAAAGACTCTGTCAATAAATCAGTAGTTTAGTGTCCTCAGGAGAGGCAGATGGATGACAAGAACATCAGTCCTCAAAGCTTCTGTCCAGTTCATGAAAAATCAGTTTACCATAGTCACAAAACCCAGTGTGGTGGCTTGCCTTGTTTCACCTCAAATTGTAGCAGATAGGACCACTTCCTAATAACTAAAATAAATGTACCAAATTCATTCAATTATTCACAAGAAATAAAAATATGAACAAATCACCTTCTTACAGTGTGGATGTGGCTACAGTCTTTGTGGATTCATATATTGCATAAAATTCTACCTGCTATCATCTCCACATGTGCAGCTGACAGAGGCAGAAGATTGGCTTTGTACTGTTTTCTAAGAAATAATTTGGCATGCACAAGTATTTCAGGCAGGCAGATTGGCAAAGGGCAAACACAGTAGTCAGACAGGCATTATCACTATGAGAAGTCTCTGTGAACTTCCCAAGCTGCAGGGTAAGTAATCATCTTCGCAGTGAAAAATCATGACCTAATCAATTTTCCTGAGCTGAGTCTTTTGCAGCTGTAGTGATCAATGTCTTCTACTGTAAATGCTATAAAGCAAAAAAACCCAAAAAAACAAAACAATAAAAAATGGCAAAAAAACTTAGGAAAACTAATATTTTATATATATATTTCAAATAACTCAATACATTCCATTAAAAAAAAATGGAACAACTACACTTCAGTGAAACTAGACTATAGCAGCACAAATTATGTAGATGTGAAAAATATAAATTACAGCAATCAGAGTATAAGGAATGTATCATGTTTTGGTCACCATACCTAGATACTGAGAATTATGATAAAGAATAAACACTCAACATATCACATACATCATGACTGAATGGTTAACTCAAGCACATGAATTCTTCCTTCTTGCAATTCAATCAACTGTGACCACATGAAAGCTGCAATTTCCAAACTCACTTTTCTTTCATTTTCTCATCTGTCTACATACTCACTGGAAAGAAAATGCAACAAAAACACACAGATAATACACATTTTCATGTAATTCTGTAAAACAGTATTTTCATCTGAAGAGTATTGGTGTACTGAGAAAATCCATATCATGTAGATCACACTATTAGTAAGTTTGCATATGTTTGAAATTACAGCTTTTTATTGCTTAGTAAGATTTATGCATTTCTGTCCTAGGACACCACATCCTTTCTGTGCTCTCAAAAGTGCTCTTTTGTCTCACAGCTCTGTTAAACAGTCGGCCACTGCCAGATGCTCTGGCTAGAAATGGTCACAGATGGTCAGTTGTCCAGTTAACAGACCAGAATACTCTTCTCAAATCTCCCCTAAAATTGTATCTCAGATGAGAATATTTGAGCATGGTCAGGAAGACATTTGACCTAGATAAGACTGCAGGTCAATTTTGGTAACTTAGTCAATATTAATTCTCCACAACACCACCCAGTAAAACATCTCAATACATTTCAAACAGCAAGTGTCAAGTCCTATATTACTTTAGCTGATTATGTGATAGATTGCATCTTTTGATGATAGAAACTCTCAGTTATGCATGTAAACAAAGCACCTTCTACCTGGGGATGATCCCAACACATCTCTAATAGCACAGACTGCAAGAGCTAGAGGAGGAAACAGAGTCAGATGGTCAGTGGAAAGACTCCAGTGGTACTCAGCAAGTTCTGTGCTCTAATCTTTGTGCTCAGTCCTGCAAATATTTACCAGTACTCCTTAATATATAACATGCACAAGAGCTACTTACTTCTATGTTGAACAAGCAGTGCTTGTCATGCAGTTTACCTGTGACAAAAGCTACAAGTAAAACAGAAATAGGCTAAAAATAGCAAAGAAAAATCTTTGGGTTTTTGTATTAATCTTTCACTGTTCTTAGATCAGACATAAACACCAAAACCATGAAAAACATGCATATTAAACTGAATATTAAAAAGCCATGTCATTTACTAGCATCTGTATCTTGAGATAAGTAGTTGGGCATCCTTCCAACTTACACAAGATTTACGAGATCTGGTTATCTAAGTGTTGTGTAATGCACATTTTGGGAGAGGATTATTCCCTCAGCAGCCCAGCTCAAGATTGCAAAGCTTATTGCTGGGAAAATAGGTAGCCAAACCCAACTCTGTTGCCTTACAGACCTAGTGATTTAAGCTCTCTAAGGTGTCCCTGTCTTCCAGCAGAGTTGGGAGGTATTTTGTACACTCACCCAAACCACTGACAGTATATTCCAGGTCACTGGCATCCAACAGAATCGGTCCATTCTCCTGCTGCCCCTCTTCCTTGTAGTACAGTTTGTAGCCCTGGACAGCTGCAGTGTCCTCAGAGTCCTGCTGCCACTGCACTGTAATTGTTGTGCAGTTCATGGGCTCCAAACGCAGCTCGGGAGACTTTGGTGCTGGAGTTAGAGAAAGAGAGATGTAAATTAGTCTTCAGCTATTTTTCATTCAAAAAATCTGGATGTCCATCAGCCCAAACTTCACTCCAGACTTTGATTCTAACGCATCTGTGTATTCATGTAATTATTTCTTTCTTGTGATGTCTGATTCCCTATAACCTAAATCTAACAGCTTAATTTAGAATACAACAGAATAGAAACAGCTTTTAATTCTGCATCTTAACAAATAAATAAATGTATGTTTATGAGGTAGTCCTTTTTAAGCAAAAATTAAAACATTACAAAGATAATTACAAAGTTACTTCTTGTTTTAAAGTGAGCCAGAGCAAATGTGATTAACAATAGCATTACACTTCATCAAGTGTTAATAATTCACTATAGTCAAAACTCAATTAAATCCAAAGCAGAAGGATGTGGACTACAGCTATTCAATTTGCATAGTTTTCAAGTTATTTGTGCAAAGCTGAATATTCTTCTGCATGACATTACTAAATAATAATAAAACCCAAAGCTCGATTATAACAAATTAGACTTTACATATCAAGTCAATTTGCCTATTCAAAAGATACATGCATTTTTTATAATACATGCATGCATCAACTCAGGTCCTTTATTACATTACAGTGCTAATGGGTAGTGTTCCAGTTTGCAGAAATGTATTTTACATTGAACAAAATGAAACAGGAAACTCTAGTTCACATTTGAGAGCTGCTCAGACGTTTTAGCTTCTAGATTAATTTTCTTCTGTTCTATATAATTTGAATTAAAAAGAAAACTTAAAAATCCAAGCAGCCCAAAAGCCATTGTTGTTCAGTGCACAGTATGTTCAGAATTACCTTTCACACTTGTAGCTTTGGGAGTTCGGTGTGAGGTCCACAAAGATGCCTCTCCCCAGCCAATCCTTGTTGCAGCAGTGATACGAACCAAGTAGACACTGTCAGGCCTCAGCCCCTCCAGGAGATACTCATCTGAAGTGCCTGGAAGCTCCAGCACCTGGATTTTGGTCTCTGTGCTGAGGCGGAATGACAGACGGTACAGGATGACCTGGCCTCTCCTGTATTTTGCAGGAATTGGCAGCCAAGATATGAGAATATCTGTCGGACTCCTGCTCGTCAAACTGATTTCAGGAGCTCTCAAGGGAACTAGAAAGGCCAAGACAAAGCTTTTGAGCTCAGAGAAAAGACAGAAAATTCTTGTCTGATACCTCAGCCCACAATGAGATGCCAGTAACAAAGACTAAATAATCCAGCAAGTTGTGTAGATTCTTGTTTAAGGATAATTTGACACTTCCCACACTTCACACCTGCTGCATGCAGCACAGCTTAAGCAAACTTTTTCCTGTAAGGCCCTCAACATTTTCTTCTCTCACTGCTGCCAGCAGTAATCAAAGGCAATCAGCACCTGGCTGGTCTGACACACCGCTTGCCAAGATGCAGCAGCTCCAACCAAGAGCCCAAACAACAATCTGCACAGTTGAACACTTGGTGCATGTTTTCTTCCACTTACCATATAATGAGGGTTCTGACAAAGAGACAGGCAGACAACTAGAAATGGCAATGTTCCATGCTGCCAAAGCTTAACCCTGTCAGAATTTATTAATCAGATCTAATGATCTACACTAAACAGTTTGTTGTTGCCATGATGTTCAGATTAATTAAATCATTGCAAAGAAATAAGCCAGCAGGGTCTTTTACAAAATTCTGATTCTACTAAAAAAAGGCACATAGACACAAAAAAGACCAAAACAAAACAATAGCTTATTTTTTTTTCCATACAGCAAATTAGCATTTCAAATTTTTCTATAAAATTTGAAAATGTGTGGTAGGTGTGCAATTGGATCCACATTTCAGATGCCCAAAGGAGCCTCATAGAGAATAAATCCCAGGCTATTCTCAAATTCTCATCATGAGAGGAGTTCTTAAAGATCTAGAATAGTTGTTGATAAGATTTAATGAAATGTCTCTCAACATAGAAAGAGACTGTGTAATACAGACTTTTGCTCTGTCAGAATGTTATTTTATTCACGTTCCTTTCATGAGCTGCTGGCTTGTACTGTGGTATCCAGAAGTCTCACTGGCATCAACAGAAATTCAAGACCCTCAAGAACTGTTACCACTGGATTGCACAGTTTGACTCAGTGCAGATAAGAACATTCACCAAAATAATTTCTTACCATCTTCCAGGGTGTGCTGAGTCACATGGTCTGACATCTGACTGGCTCCCAAAGGCATGTAAGCTACAATATAGAAGGTGTAGTTGCTGGCTGGCTCCAAGTCATCAATAATGTAATGGGTTGTATCATTTCCAATGACCACTTGGTACTCTTCATTATTTAAACCTGGTATAAAACAAGGGTTATATGAACAAAAAATCCTGAAAATCCTTGAACATCACAGTATCTTGGCTTTAAGATCTTACAAAGTTAATTTCACGTTCTTCCCCAGCCTACTTCTATTTTTTTAACCCTATTAAGCAAAAGCTCTTTCATGCACAGGAGTAACTGTGTCTTGCTGTAGTATAGGTTGTATGGTGTTTCAGGATTTTCCTCAATAAGGGATGCTGAATGCAGCTCCAAACCCTATTTAGCATTAGTCACAACAAACTGTGCCAAATGTACAGTAACACAACAGACAAGCTCTAATAGCCTTATCATTCATACCCAGCTTCTAAATCTATTTGTTTAGAGTCAGGGTTTTTTTTTCCAAAACCTATTTACAGAGCTTTTCTATAGCAGACTGTGAGGAATGTGAGGGCTACACTCCATCAAAAACAAAACAAACACCCCTTCCCCCCAAAAGAAACAAACAAAAAGAATGTATTCAGCAAAAGGATCTCATTTTAGCCCTACAACTTCTATTACATTTGATTGACATATTTTTTATTTTAATTTGGAGAAAGGCCAATAAAGAACAGACCAGAATAATCTTCAATAATGTTTGGCTCCTTAGAAAGTTGTAAAAAAAAAAAAAAAAAAAAGAAAAAAATTGTCAGCAATTCACACTAAAATATGCATAGCAATGCATGCAGCAGTCCTTGTCTTTGTTGGCCTTTATTCCTATAGAGGAAGGCTATAAAGTGGACCAAGTGTGGTGAAAGCTGCTGTGTTAACGAACAATTCACACCAAGTGCATGTCAACTTAATCAAAACTCTGTAAGAGCCAGCTCCTCCTCTTCACAACCGAATTTATAAACAAAACCAAAGGCAAATTCCATCATTAAGTTTTCCCACATTTATGAATTAACTTGATAGCATTTTAATTAGACAAGATTACGAGCATCCCACAACAGTCTAGTTAATGGCTTGTTAATTAGGAATTGCAAGGCACGATTTCTGACCTGCTAAACAAGATCCTTGAGCTCAAATTAAAAAGACTTGTTCTCTCATTGAATGGATTGCTAGGCCTCATGCAGGGGCCCTAATGAAACAGCCATAATAGAGAACAAGGCTTGCCTTCCACCACAATCAGTGTTCTCTTTGTGCCTTTTCTAAATCACTAACAAGGAATTAACACACTCCAACATGCATGCTCATCAGACCTTTTTATTCTTGCTACTATGACCCCAATTTGAATGTAAAATATTCTGCTAAAAGAAACAAAAAACAAACACACAAAACCCACACCTGTTAGTTTTTTCAACTAGGTTGATTAAAACACTAACTTTTTTCTTATATAGGGAAGAGAACCTGAACTTGTTTTTACAGTGAAACATTGGAATATGTGAGTTGTGAAATGTAACAATAAGCGATGGTATATTTTGTATTCAAAGCACCTACCACATTGTAATGGCTACTAAAAAAACCCTCTTTAAAACTGCATACAATTCATGCATTATCCAGCAGTTTTGTTTTCTGCTTAAAGTTTATGGAATCACAAATATCAGTACAACTTAGGAGACTTGGAGTCTCTGTTGAGACAATGCCAACAGCCTATGTTAGAACCCCTATGCTCTGGTACAGTGTGAATATCATCAAAAGATTTTCCTTAATATTTAATCTGCATTTCTTTAAATGTAGTTGTTTCTAAATTTACACTAGAGAGATTGTTAATGTGATAATTTTTTCACAAAGGCATTTTCTAGACTTTCAATAATGCATCTGATATGAGAGCAAGATCTTCAGAAAGATTTACAGGCTATCACTCTATCACTTAGAAAGATATTATTTTTACAGAAGTGCAGTCCACTAGCTATTGAAGCTCAACATTTTTCTATAAAATAAAACAAAAATGAGGTTTAAGTTCTGATGCAGATTTCTGATACTATGCAGTCGTGTTACAATATTAAAAACGCATGCAGATCACCTACATTTTGAATCCCATCACTGTTATTACTCCTCTTTACACAGCCCTCTCCACTCTCCTTGTGTGGATTTTTTTCACTAATGTGGAAGGATGCACAACAAAATTACATTAAATAAAATAAATACCACAAGACAGTCAGGAAAGATGAAAAAAATGGGTATTTGAGAAAATATGTTCAAATAAATCAGAGGATTCTGTTTGGCTGCTTGCTTTTGTTTGAAGTTAGTTTGGTTTTTTTAAATCAAGACAAGCTATAATCTCATTTCACAAAACATAACCTTTGGATAAGCAAGCAAATAAGGAAGGGACTACAAAAGGGTTTTGCAAAAAACATATTCCAGAAGTTACCTCCTTTCACTACTGTGAAAGATAATTTCCTGCACAAACTTCCCTAAGGACAGTTTACCAGATTTCTTTGAGGTTACCTGGTCTCTGCTCTTTACAATTACCCAGATTACTTATCCAGTGTGACTTTATTCATATTAGCTATAAGAGGGGATTGTGAGCACAATACCTCAGTGACTGAAAGAGTAGGGGGTAATTTCCCACACTTCTCATTCTCATTATCTTTTAAAACTCTTTCCTTCCTTCCTTCCGACAAAATTCTCCTGTGTCCTGAAATATCCCACTTGCAAAAGCAAATGTGGCTATTCCTGCATCAGTATTAGAGTAATTAAGCTGTCCTTCCTGTCCTCTGCTTAGCAGATGGCAGGCTGGTATTCCACACAGAGCTGAGCATCTGCAGTCCTGTCCTTGAATAAACCACTTGCTGAATAGAAGTGGAAACAGAAATCACTCCAAGAAAACAGGGCTGCAATGCAGATTACTTGAAGACATGCTCCTAGCAATTTTTCAAGTCATTAAGCCATCACCTTCTGCTTTTGAGAAATGGCTGTTTCCTACCACCTCAAATTACTTTAACTCAAAGCAATTACACAATACTAAGGGGTTTTACAATGTCTAGTTACTCATTTTTATTCCAACTATCCATTCCATTCTATACAGGAACTTGTATATCATTTCAGAGACTGGGATAAGCCACTCATGGCCATTCAGCATTTGAATAGACTTTTCTCATTACAGGAGACCAAGGGCTGAAAGAAGAGTAGATTTTACCATTTGGCCAATATTCCTTTTAAGAGAAGGTAGTGAAGACAAAGTATCAACTATTCTACTCCAAACTATATGAAAGCCAGTAAAGTCACAAGAATTTGGGGATCTAGACAAAAGAGCAGTCTGTGCTGAGAAATTCAACTCTGTAAGCCTCCAGGACTCTGCTGCATGTTTCAAAGTCCTATCCCAACTTCAGAATCTGCTCACTGGAGACAGCAGACACAGGTAAGCTGGAAGAACACTCAGTCCCACAAATGAGATGGTGTGGGAAAATGAGTTTTTCCCCAAGCTTGCCTGTTGATTACAGTATGCATTTATATATTGGAATGCTCTGAAGCAGCCCTGAACATGAACCATTCAAATCTGACAGTCTTTGCAAGGACATTCAAGTTCTTGTCCCACTCAAATCATTAGATGGCATTTAAATCAAACTGCTTACCTTCTGCTTTCATGTAATGCACAGAGTATGCAATCACTTTGTCTGAATTATACAGTGGCCTCTCCCAGGCCAGCAGGATTGCTGAGCTCGACATGGTTTCAGCGTGGACGTTGTAAGGTGCACTGGGCCTGTCTTCTGACATAACCACAGTGAGTCTGGCCCTGGAGAGAATGGAGCCCTGGCTGTTCTCTGCCATGCACTGATAAATGGCGTCGTCTTCAGGAATGATCTGGTTAATCACCAATTTACTTGATCCAAAAGGAAGAAAAAGATGGAAAAAAAGATCACATCTTGGATAAACTTAGCTCCACATAATGAAACACCAGTCGTGTTTGCCTCTGCTTCCTAAGTTTAGTATAATTGACTTGCATGCCACAAATTCTTCTATTATGAATGGATGCTCAGCAGTGAAATTTATCACCCTGAAGCGTTCTGCATTACCTGCCATGTTTCTGTTTGTGCCTACAAAGCCAGGCACAGTGAAAACAAAACTGCACATCTATTCTCTCCCTGCAAAAAGCAGACCCTTAAGCTTTTAATTCCTTAATCACCTCTTTAATATAAACTGCTCACTCAACAGAAGTAGTAGCAAGATTCTGCTACTCTGTAAATCTAAAGTAATTCTGCAGTGAAACTCTTCATTTCAGTCCTGCCCACCCTCCCTGCCTGGTAAGGCACTTCCCATATAAGCCTTACTGATTTTAGGTACTGATTAATGTGCACCCATCACTACATTTAATGTCCCATTTCAGGTTGACCTGAGTTCTGTCTTGATTGTCTGTAGCTAGCTACTGTAATGTCATCTGGTAGCACATCACTAGCACAGCTCTCCTACAGCAACTGCCATCTTACCTGTTGTACATTTTTATTCTCCCATTGGAGTGTATTCTCCTTCCATTTTTTAACCATGAAATTTTGGGGGCAGGATTTCCTTCTGCTTGACAAGCAAAACGAGCAGTACCAGCTCGAGGCCTTGTTAAGCTTTCTGGCCATTCCACAAATGAAGGTGGAGCTACAGGTAAGTTACAAGAGGAAAAAAATAGTTTTAAAATCAAGCCCCTACAAATGCAAGGATATAACAATAAGTCATAACAATAATAATAATTAGTTTTCCAAATAAACCACAAGCCACTCAAACACATATACACAATCAGAAAGCACATTCCTTGTAAACAAAGCACATTTGTTTAAAGATACACCAGCTGCACAGATAGTATTTTTTTATCCATTTATGAATATAATCAAATCAAACTCCAGACTGTGACATACTGTTCTCTCATAGATACACATTACATATTTCTACTTGGTTACAGGGTCCTTTTCTGTGTTGAGAGCCTGTTCCCAGAGCAAACATTGCACCTGGGTATCTCCAAGTGCTAGCTCACAACTCAGATCTCGAGTATCTGACACTTCTCATCTAAGCCAGCAGCCAGAAGAAGACAGTCACAGTTCTGTGATCTGCTCAATCTCTGCAGTCTCCCTACAGCCCTCGGCACACCATGTTTGAGACAAAATGTCAGCCCAGCACACAGCAGAGCCCAAAAGGACAGCCACAAGGTGTTCAAACACACTGAAAAGGGAAGTGGGCTCACCCAGCACAGAGAGAGTTGCCATTGCCACTGTGAAGTTGCGAGTGCCGGGAATAGTGGCCCGGCAGACATAGACACCTGCGTGCTGCACCTTCACGTCAGAGATCATCAGGTTCCCGTTCCCAAGGACTCGCGTGTTGAAGACATCAATGGACTTATGGTCTGTTTGAGAGAACACCAGAAGTGGTTACAAGGCTGTTCATCTAAATAACTTACCTAAACTGGGTTGTCTATGCAGGAATGGCTTAAATTAGAGTATAAAAGTCAAAAAATGCAAAGGAAATCACAGTTGAGCTTTCAGAGGTTTCCATTTTGTATTTACTTTGCTCTTCATTAGCTACCTGACCATTCAGATGGCTGGGCCTCACCAATTCTTAAGTGGTTTATACCTGGAATTCACCACCTCAGCTAGAAGTTAACCTCCCATCTGCCTAGCACTATGATTCAGTTCACCACTACCAACACCCACAGCATCTTTACAGTGATCAACCATCTCCTGAATTATGCTGCAGATAAAACTAGCACATTTGATTACCGTGTATTTTCTATTTTCACAGAAAATCCTCTATGACTATTTTGTGAACTTTTTTCCTATTTGTTTGTCTATAAGATCCACTGAATCAACCAGGAAATACATGTTTATTTCTTACACTTCTAGAAACAAAAATGGAGGAAAATTTTTCATGGTTTGCTTCTACATGGAAGAGCAATGTTTGGAAGTTTGCTTCAACATTTAGGTACATATTGTAATGAGAACAAAGTAGTTTTCATGGAAAAAAAAAAGTGATGCACTGCTCAATGTTATTCTTACTGCATTCCCTCTTCTCCCCCTCTAGGCTGACTGTCCTGGGTTAGTCTATATTTATTCATAGTTCAAATGGACCATTAGCACAAGGTGCAAATCACATTCTCACAGGGCTTCTAAGAAGAAGAGTGTAAGGAATTCTTCCAGGTCTGTTTCATAGATGCAGCCATCCCAACCTGCCCCCACCACGGATTCTATTGCAGTCAGGGATCCCTGGAGGTCATCACCCCACCCTGCCTGTCCCTGTGCCCAGGGCAGTGCTGGATTGACAGCAGAGGCAGGGAATCCAAAGCTTCAGAAAACCTCGGGGCTTCTTGACAGCAGTGCTGAACCACAGAACTGAAAGCGTTTCACTCATCCTACCTGAACCTACTAATCGTTACCCTCTACACAAAGCCTCAGAACAGAAACCTAATTGCTCAAATCCTTTCTTTCCAGTTTTACTTCCTCTCCACAGGCTGAAGGTCACATGGGGTAATTTTAAGACCTACCTAACCGGCTCCATGAGATGATTGGCTTTGGATTCCCTGTGGCTACACACTCCAGTATGACAGTTTGATGAAGAGATGCTGTAATGTTTTGAGGACCAGCTATTATAGATGGCTTGTGAAAAGGCTTCAAGTCTGAGGCTTTGCAGAGATAAAAAAAAAGATAAAAAGTGAGCACAGTTGGACAAAAACTCAATTAAATATGAAATAAAACTTTTTTTTTTTTTTTTAGGGACACCAGAAGTCACATTTACACCAAAGCCTTATTTAAGTAATTGGGGAAACTTATATTGAACAATATTTTAGGACAAGATAAAAGCAAGCAAAATTATTTGGACAAGTGGTTTACCTACAGCTTTTCAAGGCTCTTAAGAGTTTTTGCTATACTGTAAGAAAGAATATGGTGGCACTGAAAAAATCTCACGTGGTAAATACCTGGAATAACACTCAGCACTGCCTCGGTGCTTTTTCGCCTATTGCCTGCAGTTGTGGCAACACACCGGTAACTCCCAGCATCCTTCTGCTCAACACCATAGATCTGAAGCACTCCTGTAGGCAGAGCAGTTATCCTGCCACAGACACCAAAAATAAGAAATGTAGATAAACATTCAGCCAGTGAACACCACGGTGGAATTAACTCCTTGATTTAGAAACAGCCATTGCTACACTGACCTGGGAACAGCAGGCTGGAGACTCTAAACATTCCCAATACATGACTCACCTTCCTGCCTTTCTGAACTACAGGACAAATTCCCCCCAGAACCACGAAGAGCAGAGGAATTTACTTTCAACAAGCAGATCTTTCTCACCCTCAAAACCAACCATCCCAGCCTTCTTTAGCCTGCTACTACATTCATACTGTTCAGATTGTCTGATATTTTACACCAGTCTCTGATACATGGACATTAACTGGTGTACAGTTCCCAGAAACCCATCTATGGTTTCAATGTTTAATTTCTCTTTTTCCCTTCCTTTGCATGTGGGGTATCTTAGACACTTTCAACTGGAGCTATAGGTCAAAAGGCACAGGAGTCAGTTCAAAGAACACAAACTGGACATGGAAAAGAATCTAACAGCGAACAGACTGTATTCTTCAAGTTAATCAGTTCATGAGAAGACCCCTTGCATAGAATTTCCCTGGTATCAAGTATTTTAACTCAATTTTCTGTATATATAATTCTTTATTGTCCCTCTAAAGAAAAACAAGTTCAGCATCAATTCCTCAGTGAAAGCAATCCCATTCAAACCATACCCAAAGCCGAAGTTCACCCATTCCATTCCCCACTGCAATGCCAGTTCCTGAGGATGACTTGCATACAAAATCCCCCAATAAGAATTCAAAGATCAGTGTAGACAATAGTGGGTGACACTGATCTGCACTCATAACACTTATTTAAAATTCATTATCAACATACCTATGACCAGCTATTTCAATAGTTGACATGGAACCTTTTTAATGTAATGGCATCGCAAGGATTCAGATTTTCTTCTTGTAGCAGGATCAAAATGACAGCAAAGAATAAAATACATTCTAAAATGCGTAACCCTACATACCTGTCCATGACTAAGGGCAAAGTTGTTCTATTCACTTCCCATGTCACAGTGGCAGGAGGGTTTGCTGTTATTTTACAGGCAAATCGAGCTACTCCACCTTCTTGGACTTCAGTTGAAAGTGGCTGGACTTCAAATGCAGAAATGGCTAAAAAAAAAGATCATAAATTTTAAGGGACTAAAGTGAGAAAAAATTCCTGGTTAAATCAAACTCCAGTTCATAGATCAACTTGTAAAAACACCCAAAAATACTTCACATAATTCTTATATTTCTGTATGCAAAGAAAGATTGATCTAACTGCCTTGTCAACTTAGCTCAATAACATGTTTTCACTGGTTGAAGGTTTACTTAAAATAACTTTGCTTTAACCTAATTCAGTAAAAAAATATTTCAACAAAAATAAATATGACACGCTCAAATAGAATTAAGCACACAAATTGACTGGCATGCAGCTGGAAACCATACCAATTATTAGACTAACAAAGTTCAAGTCAATTCAACTAGTTTGGGACAGCCTTAAAAAAATTGACTGCAATAGGAAATTTCCAAAACAATTTTTGGTTCCTGACTCACTTTAACAAAAGAAAGCATTTGCAGAGTTATACAGGTTTGTGTGTGGTAAGAGAAAGAAATAAAAAAAAAATCTCAAAATAAGTTTAAGCCAGTGAGAACACTTCTATCCCAACAGTCTGAGCAGTCACCAAGCTGACATCCAATGCACAGAGCAACAATGTCATTTTGAGCATCTCCAACTTGAGGAGTTCACGATATTGAGCCAACTGGAGTGGCAGATCAATAGATACTCTGCAGCTAATAGCTAAGAAATTGATCAGTTCTTGGATTTCCTCGCTCAAAAATAAGGGAAAGTAATACAAAACCTGCTAATTAATGGCTTATTTACTTCTACTTACAACTAACAGAACAATTCAGAAGCAACTCCTTTTAGATAACACAACACAAATAGTTTCACACACATTTCCACCTCCTGTAGCTGCAGAGGGACCAATCTCTATAAACTTAATGGTACTTCTTTTGTTTTTTAAAAAGTCAGATTCCAATTAAATTTCTACTCCTGTATAAGTGATACAGAAACATGGTTGCAATAGATAAAACAACAGTAAAAAGTTACTTGTCTCTTAATATTCAAGTTTTGTGTTTAAGTAATTTCTCTATTTTACCTGTTTATTAATGGAAATGGTTTTTCATCCTCAAAAATGCCATGGAGGATACACAGCACTAATGCATGCCAGGCATTCTACCGAGTGCTCCCCCTCCCTGTCATTTTAATGGTACAGAACAGCACTGAGAGATTAATATTGGGGTGTGAAGGAAATGTCAACTCACCTGATTGCTTTCCCCCATGCACAAATTAACTCCTAGCACAGACTTAACTACACAATTGAAAGATTCCTGTTACTCACATGCCTATTTCACTTTCCAGGTGTGACTTTTTTTTACTCTGCATTCCTGTAGCTGCATCAGCACTTCAGGAATGAGTGTTCCTAATCACACCAGCAGTCAAAGTGTGGCAGCTTTGTGAACAGACCTCCCAAAGACTGTGACAAGACAAGACCACAGAAACACCTCCTACAGCAAAACCACCTGGGAGCTGTTGGAGCCGTGTGATGCAAACACCACAGCCACTGTAACTAGGTCTGCACCTCCAGTGGGGCTCAGACACCCTGGACACAGGGAGCAGAGATGCCCCTGGCACCCACTGTTACAGCCAAACCTCTTGGCAGCAGGTCTGCATGGCCCCAGACACTCTGAGGCTGTTCCCACCTTCACTGCAGCCAGAACTATCCTCTCTCACCAGCAGAACTAGGTTCCACTTTTTGCTCTTTCTTTCACTTTTTAGCAGTAGCAGGTTCAAGAACACATAAAAACTCCCACAACATGCATACAGCTGTTACAACAAAACTCTTTCATTTAAAACCTGTTGGGGGAGACACAAAAGCAGTTCTTGCCTTAAGCCAATTTTGATAGCAAAGGAATCATCAGAAGTAAAAAAGAGACTTAGTTTTTTGCTATTTACAAAAGCTCAGCTTCACAAAACAGACTCAGTACAAGGTAAATAGCCTCCACAGAGAGCAGGTTATTCCCATATCTCTAAACTTTCTGGATTTGCTTTGTGCTGGATTTGATGCCATCCAGCTCTCCTGTAGTCTGCCACCACAAAACAGAGAGGTGGAGAAAAAGAAGAAGAAACAGGAACAACAGGAATCCAAGTTTGTCTTGCCTCCTTCCCTTCTTCTGAGTTCTAATTTCTCCCTACACAAACGCGTGTTCATCTGGAGTCACAATAATATTTCCCTAGTGCCATTCTTAACAGATTTTCTTTCTTTACAGAAAATACAATGCTTTGCATTCTCCATTTATTTACTGAAAGTATGATGCAGCAGACTAGACAAGTCTGCTCACATTTCAAAATAGAATTTTTAGGGCTGTAGTAAAGGCACAAGTGATATGAACAATCCAAACCAATTCAATGTGAGTTTCAGAGCCATCCTATAGCAGAGCTGCACCACAGGCAGTGGCATGAAAAAGGATCACGGCAACAAGGCAGAAGGGTAATCAGAGGCTTACTGAAGCAAAGCTCTTTCACATCTTTAAAAGTTTCATCTCCACTGGAATTATAAAATTGCATTCAGAATTTTCTTATATTGGTACAGTTACCTGAAGAGACGCAGTGAGACAAATGAAACATAATTTAGCTTTTCATTTATGTATATAAAAAGAGTTATTTACATCCATGCACTCGGTACATTACAGCTGTAAATTAAAGAGAGAAGTGAGACTCTCAAGTACTACAAAGAAAACTGAGGGCAATTGGTATTTCACAGACCACAAAATGCCATCACAATAGCAGGCAAGAACAGGTTCAGCTACACTGTGTAGAAAGTCCAGTGCAAGTTGTTAACTGAAGCTGATATGTAAAGAACATTTTTCCACCTGAGCAGGAACAATGTATCTCCCCTGAAAATTCGTCTTTAAAGACAGAAAAAGTCACAACCATGAAGAACTGCACAAAATCTTTTAAAAAAACAACTTACTAATGCTACTAAAAGTAGTTTTTAGAAACAATCCCTTCTTACCTCTTAGCTAATTTTATACAATATTTATCAGTTTAGCTCAATACTTGCTCCCTCTGTATCTTTCTTTACTCACATCTCTGACTTTATTTGTTCCAGTAAAATCTGTTTTTACAAGTCTATTGCTGTCTCATGAAATCTGACCTCTTTGTAACAGGCTTGCTTTCCTGGCAAGCACTGGTTCCAACTCAGAACCCCAAGAACAAGTCATTAAAGCAGTGCTGTTAAGAGGCCAGAGCTCTATAAAATGGATAAGAAACAAAGTCTCAAGAGACATACCCTGCTCCCAAAAACAACCCTGCAACGCAATAAATGTAAGTGCCTTTTTATTTGAGTTTCCCCCCACCGTTCTCCAGTCTATTTAATCATTTTGTTCCCAGATTTATAGCCAAAAGAAAATGATTAATACTACTCTGAAGCTGACGCTACTCTGAGAAGCTGATGCTCCCACCTTTTTCAACTTGCAAGATACTAAATGCTGCTTACAGAAGACAATAAATAGAAACTATTTACTTGTACAAACTCCTGAAATTTATGTGATAGGTGTGTGTGTGTTTGTATGGTCACTTCTGAGAATGAAGATCTTTACTGGGCAGAGCTGTGTGATTTATGCCATCAATGTTATCTATGCAGAGAGAAATCATACTTCAGTTCTGGTACGAGTTCCTTCATTTACCACTGAGGCAATATCCACAGGTTCAAAACGTAGATGTTTGCTTTCTGTGACAGGCTGATGAAATATTAGAGAGCTGCTGCCAATGTACATGGATTGAATACTATCTTGCATCAGGTAAAAACTTTCTGTGTACCTAAGCAGGTTTAGCCTAACACAGATGTAACTATTAAATGAAAAAGTCATACTTGAGAAGCTCATGCCTCACACCTTTTGTTTGTTTGCATGCAGCAGCAGTCCTTCACTGACTTTGATGAAGTCCTGAAGCTTGCTGCAACACAAATCCAGTGACCTGCTGCTCCCTTACATGCTGCACTTTCTACTTACACGCTTCATGTCTTTCTGAACACATTTTCTGAATGAGCTTCCTAAAGAGGCAAAAGAAATTCCAACAACTTGCATGTTGACTACTGTTTCATCACAGCTGACTCTAGCCTAAGACTGGACTACAACTGTGAAATAAAAAACCTGTAAGAATGAAAGATAAACCCAGAACAGAAACAGTAGCACAGTTTTCAACTAACCAGAATGCACCAAATATTGAGAAACTCTGCAGCACATGATAGTGATGCTTAAGTGTTTCTCAAGAGATAATGGCCACTCAGAGAGACGGACTGCTCAGCTGGAAAGAACAAAAGTGCATAATGCCATAAAGGCATCTGTTAATGCTATTGAGAATTTCACAATAGCCCTAACCCTTCAAGTGAAACCAAGAACCTTTCTATTTTTTTTAAACTCTCTGGTGAAAAGATTTTTTTTCTCATTTGAGAAAAATAAACTTGTATGTTAAAGAGAAGCTATGGCTTTTCCCAAAGAAATGGATTTCAGGGAAGCACATGACAACTCTCGTCTTCTTGATGTAGTTTTTATGACACGCCTTCTCTGAAACAGTGTTGAAAAATCCAACAAATATACACGTGTATTATATTTTAACACCAAAGCCAATCTGCACGTATTTTCTTGGAGTTTTTGCAGTTTCTCAGTTCTTGTAGGAATGAGGTTTAAAAGAGATTATGAAAGAAGTTCTGCCATGCCTTTTGGCTGTATAGACACCCATTTCCAATGATTTCCTGCTCAAATGGCACACTTTGGTCTGGATCTGGATTTGGAATAAACTTGATATGAGTATATACCAACAGATCCAGACACTTGGCAAGACTGCAGACACACAGCTCTTCTCATTTCTGAATGAGCATGTGGAGTACACAGAGCTGGGGTTGTCATCAAGTGATACAATCTTCCCTGAGTTTCCCAAGAGATGCTAATAAAAATTAGGTTTTTTGAAGTCCAAGTTCTGCTTATTACATACAGTTCAGAGGTGAATGCCACACAAATACAGCAACATGGGTAAAGATTTTCATAACTGAAAGTGAAAAGGGACT